TCGAACGTCCCGGCCGCACACACTCGAACGCGTTCCCGGCCGCACACACTCGAACGTCCCTGCCGCACACACGCGAACGTCCCGGCCGCACACACTCCAACGTCCCAGCCGCACACACTCGAACGTCCCGGCCGCACACACTCGAACCTCCCGGCACCCTTCTTAATGCTTACTCTAAATAAAACGAGCATTTGAAACACTCGAGTACCATATGGCTGACGTATGGGTTTTTTGTACATGCACTTTATTCATTTTCACATCCTAGCAAACTATTTTTGCTTTATGTGAATAGCTGAAATTGATGTAAAAAGATTCCCATCTACACCTTCAGCAAAACTGTTTTATCATCCACCATACAGATCTAATAATACGCTCAGCAAAAGACACAGTATATGCAAAAGCAGTATACGAACGAACACCCAAAACATCGTGATATACTTCACTCGGCAACAAGCACACTGCTCTGCGAAACAGACATTTCGCGACAGTCCGGCACGGCCGTGTGACCCAGCGCGGCTGCGCACAGCTGGGCGAGAGCAGCAGCGGCAACAGCAACGGCGGCGGAGGGGGCCGCAGCACCTCTTACGTCTAGCGTTTAACATGGGGGGGGGGGGGTACTCTGCTAAGAGATTGACGTCGATTGAGTTTGGTTTCTTGTGCAAGGTGTTGTAGTAAAAGGTTGAGAGTTCGCACCCTTGTGAAGGGTTGAGTTATCGTGGATTATTGTTCCCTGTTTCGTGTCGCCGTTTCTTCGGATACGTAAGGTACACACACAGCCTTCGGCGACACTGCCAGGCCTTAAACCCACACTCTGTCAGCCTTAACCCATACTTTATCGCCTTAAGCACTCGCTTCTAGCAAAAACACAAGCACCAAAAACACCCAACACCAAGCATGCCGCTCCAGCCCCCATCCCCATCGCGCCGCGATCCGGGACCCACCCCTCGTCGTGGGGCTCGCGCTCCCCCGTCGTCCGAGCTGCCGGACGGGCCATCGTTTCTCCTAATAAAAATCGAGACGAAAAAATTTGCCACGCTTAAACCGTTCGCGATCCGCCGCGAAATAGAGCACCAAGTTGGAGAGGTGGAGGGGGTTCTTTTGATAAAAGTCCACGGTGCCCATCAAGCGTCCGTGCTTGTCAAGCAGAACCGTTTCCTGGTGCGAGACGTCGGGGTTATGATGGAAGGCCGCCTGAACAGTGTTCAGGCGGTCGTGTGCCCTGGCCCTTGCCGAGATGTCCGAGGAGGACATTCTCGGCGAGTGTATAGCTCAGGACGTAACGGAGGTAGTGCGCCTGCCGTCGCGCCGCCCGCAGCTTGGGCCCAACACCTTGCTCCGATTGCGTTTCCGGGGCACAGCCCTTCCGTCGTACCGCCTATGCGGGTACGTTCGGGTACCCCCGCGTCCCTGGATTCCCGCCCCGCAACAGTGCGCGTACTGCCATTGCGAGGCCCAGGAGCCGCGCTGCGCCACCTGCACTGGCCCTCACCCGGCCTGGGACCGACGCGCCTGCCCGGCGTGGCTTGAGCTCCGGGCCCATCTTAGGCAAAAGCAAACAGGCAGCGCTCCCTCCTCGCTCCTCCCTCCTCGCGCTTCCCCCCCCCCCCCTCAATACTGGTGCCTGGCCCACGCCGGCGGAGGCGCACGCCCGACCCGCCCCCTTTCGGGGTGGAGCGGAGAGCGGGGGTCTGATCCCGCCCATCGGGTACCCATTGGGGAGCGCCCTCATGGCCCGCACCCGGGCCCGCCAGACCTGGTCCCCGGCCCCTGAGGTCCGGTCCCCGGCCCATCACACCCGGCCCCCGGCCCCCGGCCCCTGAGGCTTGTCTCCCGGCCTCTCAGGCCAGGCCCGTCGTCCCTGAGACCCCCCTGACCTCCCCTCAGGGCTCATGGCTGATCAGCGGCTCTCGCCGTGCGCGACCAAGAGCCGCGCCGGACCCGGGGTCGTCCACGACTGGCTCCCCCCGGGCCAGCCTGGGAGCAGACCCATCAGGATCTAGTCAGACGACCTCCCCGTCCCCTGAGAGAGGACCACCACCCCGCCAGCTCTCCCTCTCGCCGCCCTCACTAAAGCTGCAATATTCAACTGCACATGAAGAGTTAGTGTAGTCAGGTATATCCTATAAGGTAAAACAAAATGAGCAATACCGACGATTCAAACAGCAAACATAAAATGGACCTAAAGCATAATTTATACACTGTTTCATTCAACCTTTCTTAAAACACCCAATGTTCTTCTAACGTTTCATAAAATCCGTAAACATGAAAATCGATCAAGAAACTAGTATAACAATGCTGCCTGTGTGAAACAGCCGCGACATCAGGCGTTTTAAACAGAACGTTTCACATTTGTGTAGGGTTTTGAACTGAAATAGCCGCCTTGGAGATCATTCGGTGCAGTTATCACTGTGATCACAGCCGTGCCCTTCTTAAGACAAAAACCCCCTCTAGTTCCTGAGCTACACACCCGCGAAGATGTGCAGACATTTTCGGGGAGACTATTCCCAGGACACCACGGCATCCATAATTCCATAACAACACCATCGAAATCCTGCTATTCCATTAGCCGAACGGCGATCAAGACCGATAAAAACAAAGCTGTCGAATCTTTCATATCTAGCGTTTGTGGGCACGATTTCCCGATAAACAGCCATCAGTTGGCTCTGAGTCTAGGTTGTGCAAGATACCATGCCATGATCAAACATTGCCGTACTGAGGAGCATATTTACAAAACAGAGAAATTGTGTTGTCTAGAACAGTCTTTTCCAATTAATAAAGTTCGCAATGGAAATTCTACCCCTAGTTCATAATGGGGCATCTAAGTTCATAACGGACTTTCTGGTTCATAATGAGCCTTCTAATTCACAACGGCGTCTCCTAGTTCATACCACGAGCCACCTTGTTCATAAATGTGGTCTTACGGTTCATAGCGGTGGGCTCCTAGTTCGAAAGAGGCCTCCGAGTCCATAACGGGGCTTCCTAGCTCATAAAAGGGGCCTCCCAGTTCATAACGAGGGCGTCCTATTTCATAACTTGGATCTGCTAGTTCATAATAGCGGCTTCCTTAATCATAATGGTGGTCCCACGAGACAGCAAAGGCCATCCTGATCTACAGCACGGGCTCCTTAATTCGTTAAGATGATCTAGTGATCCAGGAAATGGTCCTCTTGATGCATAAGTCCCATGAACCCAATTAGTATCGCTTAGCTCAATTATGGGATTTCCCTGATCCGAATTTTGGTAATCTGAATGAGGTCTTGCATGGGAAAACGGGCCGCCCGAAATTCTGAGGGCTCAAAAGCATTCTCTTGTCCCTCCATTCCTGCCGGCCGGGTGAGGCACTTGCACCCTTAACCCCCCCCCCCCCTCCCCACTCGTGGTTCGCCGCTTCTGTGATTGGACAAATAAAGCACCTTTAACTGAATGTTCGCCATATGGAGATCTGAGGCACGCATCAACTATAATGAAATAGGCTCAGTTTTAACCTTTGGTTTTCCTAGAAATTTAAAAAGTGCTCTAAACGACACAATTTTTATTTGTGTAAGTATGACACTAAAAACGTCATCGTTTGATTGCGTCATGGAACGCCTGAATGACGTCGGAGTTGCTGCCACACTGGCCGTGTTAGAATTGCCAATGTAGTGGAAGGGCTGACTTACTTGTAGTACTTCAACTTGCCGGGAGATGGGCATGTTTCCTGTACAGTTTTACTGAATCTGAATCGTGTTGCGTGCCTGTGTCTTGGCCGTTTCTCGTGGTGGTCTTGTTTACTTGCCCGTGTTTTTACATCGTTTACTTGCATTCATATATTGGAATATGGCGACTCGGCGAGTTGGCGAGTATATGGCGAGTTGTACGATTCCAACTCTTATTTTCGTCATAACTTGCAACACTGTCCAAAGTTCTGTATTATGTACCGCAAAACGTGATTTGTGTTCGAAATTTACGCGAATACATTGCACTGATTGAAGGCCAGCTGACGTCCGTTGACACCACAAATTGTACCGACGTACGTCAGACACGATGAATACGACGATCCCATCCCGATGATATATGTTTGCGGCCGGAGCATTCGCTTGAACCGCACTCCTGGTGTACGCCTCTACCTGCTCTGGTTGCCCGGATAGCAGCAACCCCCTAAAGGTCAAAAGTCATAAATTCATGATTTTCGCACGGTTCCGACAGGCAGTATCACATAGTCCGATATCGCTGCGACGCCTGATCACCGCGGTCTGGACCTGTAGTCCTGGTCCGGTCTACTGGACCTGTTTGCGTCGCGTCCGCCACCTTTTAACGATAAAAAGGAAATGTCCACATCGATGAAATGGAAAGTGAAGTACTGCTGTTTAATCATCGGAGAAAATGTTAGAACTTATCAGAGAGACTGCATTTAAGTGTCTTGAACATATTGCAGCATACCTCTTGTGCTGAGAGGTGTGCTACTCGTTGCAAGAACTTGACGATGATATCATCAGGAGCTGCACACCTTCAAGTCAGTCACGAGCGTGGCCTTTCCTTCAGATTCGTGCAAAATGTGGCCGCCTTGGCGGCTTTGTATTTGACCACTTATACACCTCAACACAACATGAGGGATCATGGTAACAAAATGTAAAAACCTTCGAACTAGAGAAAATCTCCGCCTCCCTTCGAAGGTCATATCACATCTGGAAAGCTTCCAGCAGCACGAACAGTTTGACTCAATTCGCGACCGTTCTCACACATAACGGGCACGTAGAAACCACTGGCTTATCGACGATATAATACGGCATGAACGTACGGTAGATGCCAACGTCCCGATCCTTAAGTCATCCGCCCTGACCACTGCAACACGGCAGGCAAGCTCTCACACTCGGTGAGAGCGCAACGTGCTAAGCTTACCCGCATCGCGGCTATGCTGAACTGTACGCGGCTAATTGCTGAACATGCTGCAGCTGAACGCCAAAACATGTCACCTCTCGTAACAGAGAAACAGATCACCTGTACACAACAACGGGCAAAGGCGACCCATTCACCAGGTAGTTGGCTGGTGGCCGCAAAGAACCAGCCGCCCCCATCAGGCGTGCCGTCATTTGGAAGATCGGACATCGTCCACGTGAAGCCAATAACTATGCATATGCTGCAGGAGGAACTGCTCCAGCATATCATCCAACTGCTTCAAATACTTGTCCGGGGTGGTGCCTTTCTGCAAAAGGCGTGGAGTGAAGTTAACATTCGGATTACAGATGGTTTTGTTGATTTCTTTTGTTCTTGGAAAACACGGCAGTACATTCGTTTGCTCAGGTCGGATAACTGAAAAGAATTATGACGGCATCGTCGCATATCTATAACATCGTTTGTCAGTCCGGGCGTTGGATATTACCGCGGCACTATACTACGCGACGTTGTCCACATGATTACCCACCCGTAAACGCTACTGTTGGAGATTCCAGGTCATCGCGTGTCTTGTTATCGATTACTCCATGGAACTCAGGAAAGTGCACAGAAGCATTGAGAGTCCTTAAATGGCATAACAATGCTCATACCTTAAAATACTGACGCTGGTCGACAAGCTTCTTCAGGGCATGGAGGAAGCGCATAAGCGTGGAGAAGTCTCGCGCGAGCAGCCGTTCCTTGATCTGGTCCAGACACAAAGGCCGCGGGATTTGATCGAAGTCGGCCAGCTCCTGCAACGCCAGGGAGTTCAGTGATCACCTACCCATGCCACGTTACCGCCCCAATGCTGAACTGCTGCATGCACAGCGAAGCACGGCGCAGGCGGATGACAACATGAGCAAGATCGTGCGGGCGAGGATACGTCGCTGCGTTGGCTCCGGCTACGCCGTTCAGGTACTTGCGGGGAGCCAGGCAGCCACGACAAATGACATGCTAAGCGAAAGGTTGGATATTTCCCACCCAACACCTCAACATCCAGGCCATGACCGAGGTCCTGTTCTCACCTTTTCCCTAATCGGTTGGCAAATATCAAAAAGGCTCTCGAGAAAGGCGCTTTTCTTGCTGAAGCCATCACGGACTTTTGGCCTCGCCAAACGATGAATGTGCTTCAGCCAAGCCCGAGAAAAGCTGGCATTGCGAGTGCTCCGTTTCAGCTGAGGGGAAACAACAGGGCGTCTGAGCCAACGGAAGAAACAGCGGGGTGGCTGACCAAGTAATTCGTTTTTGGATATACAACTGGATACATCCGTGTTAATGAACTTTTGGTGTTTCCATCCACTGGCAACTGAGCAAAATATATTCTTCCCCGGAGAGCAGCTGCAACCATAGCAGATAATGTCATTGGAACTGTGTCCACGCGCGTTTTGGGGACAGCAATTATCCACCTGACCTGGCATTAGCGTCTTGAATCTCAGCCAATCAAATCGACCGAATCAAATTGTTCCGGAAGAGTGCAGCATCAACATAACCGAGATGTGAATACTTGACGACGGTCAAGACAAGATGGTATTACGGTTTTTCGATGGAGAAGCCGCAGGCGCCAGCTGAAGCTGGTGATAGCTCAGGGGATCAAGAGCTGACCCGGTCCGGGACGGGCAACCCGCATCGGTCGAATTCATGTCGCGGACGTGCCGGTGGGGCGGCATGCTTCGAGACAGCCAAATTACAGCCAGCGCACGAAGATGATGGGGGGCGCGGGAATGTCAAGAAGAAGAAATACAAAGGCTAGATAATTGGCAACATGCAGTGCTATAGGGTCAAGAGCAAACATCACGTCTTCGCGGGAAGAACGCACTTAATTCTATCCATGCATGAACGTATCGCGCATCGTATAACACAGAAGTGAGCTCAATACTGTCCGACCCAGCGACGCCAGTAATCGACCGGGAAGCGGTCAATCGACAAAAGGAAGCGGCAATCACGCAGCCAAGAGAGTTAAAAGTACTTTCTACACTATTTCACAGGTTTTCAGCCTAGTTCGTTGCAATTAATAACATACCTAAAGGCTTTCGTCTCTAGCAACATTTTTGTTATTCACCGAAAACACACGAGTTCATGTGCATTAAGTGAAATCATCGGGTCTTGTCAGGCTCAAGGCCTTTTTATCTGCCAGCAGTCATTTGTAAAGCTACACACGAAAACTACGTATTCATGAGCCCCAGGATGCTATGCTCATGACGCTACGCCCACGCTCACCAAATAAATGTTGACATCGGAACATATTGAGGCAAGTGATAGAATGAGATAACCTCACTTGTAATTTGGTTAACTTTCTTGGACTTTTTAACTTTAACTTATTTGGAGGGTTAACAGACTGCTTTCGGCAACACGAGTTCACCGTTTACTACGTTCTACAATACGGCATCGTTTGATTATGTCATGAAACGTCTTTACGACGTGAGAGTCGTTGCAAGACTGGCCGTGCCAGAAATGCTGCTGTAGCGGACGGGCTAACTCGCTCGTAGTACTCCGACTTGCATAGAGATGGCGGCGTTTGCTGCCGCGTGTTTGCTGAAACCGAATATCGTTATGTGCGCGTGTGTTGTTGGTCCTTCCTCGCCAAGTCCTTGTATATTTGTCAGTGATCCATTTTTTACATACAATGATACACTCGATTACAGCGTCATTCTTAAGTTATCCGACCCGTCTTATTTCCGTTATAACCAGCATCACTTCCCAAATCCCTTTGGAATGTAGCACACAACTTGTTTGCATTCGCAACTAGCGCATAAAGCCTTAAATCGGCTGAGGGGTGACTGATGCTCGTTGTTGCCACGATTACTGCTAAAGCACGCAAGACACGAATGATTCAGTGGTCATATTCGTCTTGGACGTGAACACTACGTGGCCAATGAGATGGCTTTTTTCGCGTGACAGTTTTATGGCATTGTGCAGGCCTGGGTGACCTTAAAATAGTCGCACATGTTCGCGGACATCAACGTAAAAAGGGGGTTTAAGTCTAAAAAGGGAAATGATTGTGAATTGCAATCTTCAAATTCTCTTCAAAATAGCCATCTCAATTCGAACTCCATACAAATGTGGAACATTCCTATTAAAGGGAGTGCCATTTTAAAGATCATTCGATGCAGTTCGCAGCCCTGCCCTTGTTAAGACATGAATCCTCTGGTCCACCTGAAGACTGTCGCGAATATGTGCACTTTCGTGTAGACGCTTTGAAGGTGACCGCCACATGCACGATGGCAAAGAATCGTCACTCAAAAACCACCACCCCTTTAGCCATTCGGCAATTAAAGCCAATACAAAATGGTCGTCGAGTCATTCGTCTTTGGCGCACGTGAGCATAATTTCTGGAACCAACGGACTTCAGTTGGCTCTCAACCAATGTTATGCCTTCGGTGCAAATTGCAAACCTGAATCACGTTTTGCGCTACATAACACAGGAAGCTGGACGGTGCCGTCCTTCCTGCCAGAATGAGAGGCAGGCGATGCCATATAGCCTCAGCAGCTGCGTGCGTCGTCAAGTCCCCAATTAAGTTGGACGGTGCTGCTGGTCATTACTGAAATACAACTTGTAATCGAATAACTGAGAATGGCGCCACATCCGCGCATGTGAAAGCAAACACACAATACTAAATCACGGACAAATGTGCAAGAACAAGACGAGGAAGTGCAAGAAAAGGTGCACGCGATATCTGGGTTCTGGAAACGACGCATCCAGTACCACAACACTTCTCGAGAAGTGCACTTGAAGTGAGTCAGTCCGTCCGCTCGGGTGCAAATTTCACAAGACCACTTTGGAGACCCTTCTGACGTCATACTAACGTTTCAGTACACAAGCAAACGATGCCGTGTTGAGGGGGGTATTTACCAAATAGTGATTTGTTTTGTAAAGAATGGTCTTTTGTGCCTAAAACTATACACCTGCTCTCGAGTGAACTTATTCCATTCCATTCATTACTTACAAGAGAGCTTATTTCATCATATTTGACGCTTGCCTCAATGTTTGCAATATGTAAGATTCGCGCTAACGACTCAAATAATTGAGTTTATTTCATCAAATCGGAGCCTCGTTTTAATACCTTAAAGGGAATGTGGGGCATTGCCATTACGGTCAACCTCAAAATTGGTGTCCAAAGTCCCCCCAAACCTCGTGCGACCACCTTATGCAACCACCTTCAACCTAGATATTGCTCTGTGATGCTTATTTTAGGTTAGTGACTTTGACCTGCAAAGATCACGTTGACAAAAACTACACGATTATTTTGACTTTTGAATCTAAATGAGCGTCATGGATCACGCTAGACGGTATGTTCTCGGAAACAAAATTTTGATCTGGGTCATTTTAGGTCATTGACCCACTCTGACCTTTAAGAAGTTGGTGGAAAAATGTCTATTGCAGTCTTTGTTACACACAAATTCGACATTGACGTCAGAAACTACCCTGTACAGTAAAAAGCGGGCTGTTTTTTCTTGCTTCGGTCTGGCCTTCATACCGGACTCAAGGCGAATGGAATTTAGTTGTCATTTTCCTATATCATATTATCGCATTATCTTAGAGACTATGTCAGAGATGTAAAGCTTCGCGAACAATTCGATGTCACATCACATTGAAGGATTTCCCAGAAACTGCCTTCACTGACAGCCACGGCCCGACCTTGTCCTGCACAGGGAAGCGATCTTACAAGGCACACATTGGTCTATATGCCAAAATGTGATGCAGTCCAATGCCTAAAGCTAAACAAGTTTGGCGCGGCCACGCTAGGCCGTTTGGAAATGATAATGGAAAAACCTTTGTGGATCAAACTGATCCACTTCTGGACGCGTGTTGAGAAGCGTGAGGGTTAAGAATATTACGTTTGGATACAAATATAATTCGTATGAGTAACGGGTAGGGGTGGGTACGGACTTGTGGTAAATCACGGATATGGGTGAGCTTTGAAGCTTTCGAAATGACGGGCAGATATTTCAAAACGATCCTTTACTTAGAATATCTTTAAAAAAACGCACACCGGTGGGTGACGGCTGCACACAACAACTGACGCAAGTAGCGTGTTGATGTGGCAGCGAGACACCCTGACACATCTTGTCCCTCATTTGCACTGGGCGGAAACTGGACCGAACTTAACTGGGACCGTACTACGGTCAGCGTTCCTACCAGCCGGGCGTGATCACGAGCAAGCCCTGACCGAGCCTTCCCCCATTCAAACACCAACGTGTTCCGCATCCGGCACCTAAGGTGCCTACATAATAAGGTGCAGTATTTTGAACAGCGAGTGGAGTTAGCGCCTCGAATAGTGGCCGTCTTCAGGAACGGAGTACGAATGTCAATCCTGCTACATAAGAAATGTAGCTGCAGAAATGAAGAATAAAGTACAGTTCTCAGAAATGTGCGCATCGGCTGCAAACCGGAACAGTCTTGCGTGGGAAGTATGAGTGTGTGGAGGTAGAAGCTTCGTGGAAGACCCAAGCTGATGTTACACCGAAGCTTTCCACCGAGCCGACATCTTCATTATCTTATTCCATTCCATTTCCATCATCTGCTCAGCAGCAAGACCAGCCACTCCGCCGCAGCCAACCGCACCGCATCCCACAAGCCGCCGGACCGGCCGGCCTGAGAGGCAACGCCAGGGTGAACAGGCGGCCATCCGTGGGGACGCGACAACATCGCGGCCATGGCACCATGGGCACGAATGCCGGGCGCCGCCGCGCAACGCGCGGCTCGGCGGGGCCACACAAAAGACTAAGCAAAAGCGACGCAAAAGACAGCCGATCCGACGTCCCAGTTTTACCAGCAGAGCAGCGGAGATCGATAAACGTGTGTGTAGCTGTGAGTGTTCCAGGGTGCACTGTGGCTGCCGAGAGCAATGTTAGTGTTTGCGTATTGTGGAATCGGTTAAGGTATACGTTGTGTTTACCTGCCCTAGATTTAGCGACATGCTACGTCCGCTAGTTAAGTTTTTGGCCGGCACGCTACCTACGCACGCGTCATTTTAAGAGAGTTGCTGCACATTTGCATGGAATTTACCACTGAAATACCCATCCTGAAAATCATTTGATGCGGTTTACAGCCCTGCCCTTCTTAAGGTCCACCACCGGCTAGTTTCTGGAGTTCACACCCGCAAAGATGTGCAGACTTTTTAAGACTATCTCAAGGTCACCCAGGCATCCATGACGCCATGACAACGTCCTTCAAATCCGTTGCTGCATTGTCCATGCGGCGCTCAAGGCTAAACAACATCATTGTCGAGTCGTTCATATTCAAGCGTTAGTGAGCGAGATTTCCATACATAACGGCCGTCATTGGGCTCTCAATCAATGCTGTGCACGGTGTGATGACGTCATAAAACGTGACGCATTGAGAAAACATTAACTAAACGTAACCTGGGTCTCTCCTCATTTCCTGTATTGGCGCGAGACTGTGAAGGCCATAGTTAAGGGCTTGCGCGTACGAAAAAAATTATCATGGAACAGCGTTTCATAACCGTATGGTTCAAATAAATCGCCAGTTGTTACTGCCCATATCCTACATCCTAGCTACATAACTGCTTTTTATTACTGCGTGATAGCTTCGTCTGCATGGGCGGGTTCACATGGGCCCACAGTCCAAATCCTCTTACCGACATGGCCTCCAGGTTTTTGAAGTACATGGACGGATAGTAGGCTGCATAGAGCTCCATCAGCAAACGACGGGCTAACGTCATGTCCTCCGCGTTCATCTGGTCACCCGACGCGCCGCTCCATCGGACTCATGGGGGTCGGCATAACGCGGCACATCAGACACTGCCACGGCCCGCTGCGGACAAGAGGATCACGGCCGTCAAACACGCCACCGACACATGTCTACAGCTGCCACCGCAAGTGCTGGCACATGGCGACAGGCACAACGCTACGCGAATCACACGACGGAACAACAGAGCCGTACGAGCCTCAGCCGGACGGGAACGCTCTCAGCCAGCTGCAGCGCTCGACGCTCAATCTGCTCACCGGCCGTCGCTCCGGCGGGCTCACCTGTCAGAGTCGTCCGCAGGACCGATGTAGCATTCACGGTGGAAGGCGCGCTCGCAGTGGTCACAGAGCAGCAGCTCGCCACCGTCCCAACACAGCACGCAGTAGCTGACGTTAGGGGACTGGGGGCCGCGCTCCGGCGGCTGGTACAGCATTTCGGACGAGAAGCCAATGCCGCGCGGGTCCTCCGTCGAGTCCCACGCCAGGGCGGCATCACCATGCAGCACCGGGTCGGGCAGCTTCACTACGTGAGTCAGCTGGGTGGAGCCAACCGACAGCGCCGTTGGCCGACCCCCGGACGTTGATGCCCCCGACTGGTGCTCGCCGACTGTCGGAGGCGGGTTGGCAGGAGCACTGGTGGTTTTCTGCCGCGTACTCGAAATGCCCTCCACCTCTTTAGAGGCTGGAAGCGGGTCAGGCGTGTCATTGGAAACAGCCCCAAGTAGACCCCGGTTTTCCGCGCAGCTCAGCGTCTGCCTCGCGCTCTCAGAGATGGCCCCCGTCTGTTTCAGGTGCCCACAGGACGGCTTAGCTGAGTCCAAGTCAGCGGGGATCTTCTCAATCTCTCCCGAACTGCTAGGAGCGAGTTCGGTCTGACCAGATCCACAGGAAGCAGATCCAACCGTAACAGTGGACACAGAGACGGGTCTGGTCGGACCGGAGACCACAGGAGCGTGTCTGGTCTGACTCGAAACTTCAACAGCGGCTGTAGTGGTGCCTGCAGTAGCTCGGGCCTCATTAGGCCCAACATTTCCCGGAAACGCAGGACATGGTGCTGATGTCACGCTCCGTGCCTGAGCAGTGACACGCTCCGTCCCGCGAAGCAAAAGTGATGGAGGACCGCATGACGGGAGAGGAACAGAGCTACGCCTGTCGCTTTGCATCCTATCGACGGGTCGTCCAGCAGGGGGCTTGACACGCATCGCCGAACCCTGTCCTGATATCGAAGCGCCTTTGACCAGGGGTTCTCGTTCCACTTCTGTCCGATCCTTCTGACCGGACTTGACCAGGGCCTCCTGATCAGACTGCGTCTGGTTAGCTCCACGTTTCGCCGGCGCCCCGGACGATGGGACCGCAGTCGAGTCCGACACCTCCTCCGTCGATCGCGCGCCCGGCTGACTGGCACAAGTCGTCTGTGAACCTTTAGGTGGCGCTGCTTCGCATGGCTCCCCCACACGCTCTGTTATATTTGTCGAATCGTCCACACTTCCGCCTTCAGCCGACTTGTGCCGCCGGGCCGGCGATTCTCGTTCCCGCCCGGAAACCTTGGCCTCTTCACTGCTGCTGCAAACCCTCTTCCGTTGCGGCTCCTGCTCCTGTCGCCCCAGACAGGCCGCCTGCTCGAAACTGCCGCCTCGCTTTTCCGCCCGCCGCATGGAGGGTGTTTCTACCGAGGTTCGTGTCCTCTTGCCATCCTGGAGAATGTCTCCGCCTCTCCCCATTGGTTCCAAATCTACCAGCTGATCATGAACGACTACAGGCAGCGCAGGCGGATGGGGCAGCAGGACGCCGTTGGATGCTGTCGGAGCTGTGATTATGTTTGGCATGGTGATGGTAATTGGCTGCGCGATGAAGGGCTTCCCAAACTGCAAAGCCACTGCATCACTGGCGGTCGACAAACCACTCGCCACTGACGCTGATGGCTTCCCGGGCTGCGAAACCCACTCCACCACTAGACGTGATAACCTCATCCGTCACAGTTGCCGAAGACGCGATTCGACGTGTTTTGGCCTTCAGCTTTTCGTACGTTTTCGGCGTCAGCGTGCGTTTGACTGCGCATGTAGGCGATACTTCTGTAGGGATTGAGCCGGTTGGCCGCATCTCATCAGTGTTGACCGGCGTTGGCGACTCAGCAGATGGCGGCTTACTGGGGACAACCGGGGCTTGCTCGCATTCAACAGCTCCTATGATGCTTAGCAGCTCGTCAAGAGGGTCGGCTGAGGGCAAGTGACCCAACGCCGGCATGCTGTCCGTGGAGCTGGGTAACGGTGAAGCCTGGACGCTGCTGGCGGGATCCAGCGCGGAGGCGTCCGCATGGATACGGGTGAGGGTGACATCTGGCGCCGGAATTTCGACTCGGGGCCGTGGGGGATCCTTTTCTGACCCGGCAGGCGTCGAGATGGACGGTGTTGTTACTTCGCTGTTTTCCTTCCTTTGGGCCGCTTCAGAGGATGTCCCCTATAACAGAAAGCAATAATGAGGGATTAGGTATATCAATGACGGGAGTCTAAGGGTCGTCCAATCTTGTGTGGTCGAATGGTACCAACGACGCATATTTCACGACTGGGCCATAGAGACCCCATGCTAAAAGGTCTCTCCGGTGTTTCTGAAAAGCTGCCTGATGAAGTTTACTTTGAATATGCGGGATCAAAAACCACGTCATAGCACTTCTCTTCGAGCTTTAAGGCAAGACGTGAACCAATCCCACGCTGCAAGGCACGGGCATGGGATGAAATTTCATTTCTATACATCCTTTTGGCAGGATGCGCTTTTCTTGAGTCCTGGGATCAGGGACGTGGTTCCAAAAAGAAGTGTGGGAGGAAGGGACTTCGGGGGAAATCGCCGAAAAGGTCGCGTTTGCATGCGCCGAAAACTCAAATACAACATTTGTCAACCCATTCACAACGGAAGCAAAAGGGGAGCGAGCACAAAACAGAATGTATCATCATTGTCTGGATATGCGGCAAGATTAAAAACAACACAATCTCACCAGTCTTGTGCCCACCACCAAACACTCTAAGACTGTCCAATACTAGTCCTTACAACTACTCATCGCCACATCCCGACCACGGATGTCGCTAACTTTGTGCTGTCGACTACTGGTAACCATCGTAAGTCCAGTCTTAATCCACGATCCTATTCTTTTTACTGCCAGTACCTGCTGCTGAAAACTTTTCTGAGCCCGAAGTTCTGTTACTCTGGTATACGCCACCAGAGTGTTACTCCAAAACGCACAGCGGAATCTCCAACATGAAGCGGCATCAAAGTTCGTGTGCAGAACTTCACCTTGGGGACGAGTACCCCATCATTTCGTGAAACACAACTATTAAATTTGGGGCAGCCTTGCAGCCTGTCCACCGAGGTAAAGAATCAAAAGACACTTGTGGCATTACCCATGAGTCCCGTCGATTACAAGTTGTATTAGGAAACATGCCTGGTAACTGACGTTAAAACACAAATATTGCGAAGTACAAGCCTGCTGATCACATAGAAACAGCGTCGCCGTCTTTCTGGTCGTAAGAGGGAACCGGCTGTCTGATTTCAAGTTAGATAACGTCATTCTGAACTGTATGAGTACGGTGTCCAAACGGGGAGTCATCAAAAAGTCCACCTCCGCAGCGTGCAGTGTTCAGACCGTCCAGGATAGCACCATCCAGTGTTCATAACGTCCAGAAAACGTCCAATTCCGTGCCCATTGGGGGCGTTCATTCCTGGAACTCCGTGCTAGGATAGAAAAGTCCAGAGATGAGCACCCTAACCACTTATCACCATACCACCATCGTCCCTCTGCGGCACAAACTGCACCCGTCTCAACTCCAGACTGGTGTTGCTGGACCCCAAATTCCACACTTCGGACGTTCTGAAGCGTAAAAGGAAGAAAGCGTTTCAAGATTAATGAAGTGGATGCCGAATACAAGCTCACGATTCTCCCGGCTTATTCAGCTTATCTATCACAAACCAGCTCGGTGACATACACTCGACTCCGCTGTTTAGATGGTGAGTCAACAGCGCATTTAAGCGCGACACGTGCGTGGTGTTTTGCGTGACGTTTGGCAGGCAGCTGAACACATCCGCAGTCAACGTTTGCTTTTTTTTTGCTTCCTGGTAACTCGCAACCAGGAGCGTGGTTCCCTATGTAATCGCAGGGGTTTCACACAGCCCCCCCCCCCCTCCCCCCGCCGTAGCTTGGGGTGCAGCCTGCAGATTTGTGAGGAAGTGAGCCAAATTTGGAGATAAACCAGTCCGATGACATATTATCATGGTACTCTTCGTTGCATTTTCATCGCTCAGCCAACCAGCTTATTTTGGTAAACTACGCCCGTTTAAAGCGTACTTGGTCGAAGAAACGAATGGTTTGCAGGCTGGGCCAATGAACGTGCCTCACCAGGGAGTAGTATCTGGATTAACCTGATAAGACAGCCCCAACCTCACTCTTGGAGAGAAAAGGCATGTAGAATTCAGAATAAGTCCCGTTTGCAGGAGCGTGTGAAAAATTGTAATTGGAGGAGGGAGAGGAAAGTCAAATAAAATCACTAACAATATGGGTTAACGTGCCGGGACCTGGAGATACATACGCGCGCCTACCTGGCGCAGACACCAAATCAGTCAGCCTTACATATCTGTCATCATTTCCTTCAAATACCAAATACCGCGGAGCATCTTATCCATAGCCCACAATACTAAACAGGTGCTTTCCACGAGTACCGTGCAGCTTCTGCTGAATAACCAGCTATTTCCCATGACACGAGCCAAGGATCAAAGTTTTGACTCATTTAATGCGCGTGCTGCCAAGGGCGTGCTGACGCGGCGAACTTTGCGCGCTCAAACAAAACGTCCATATCGATGCCCAGTGGTTAAACTGGGCAGCACTGTACTGCATGACGTCACTCCTCGGCTGAGGCGGGCGAAATCGGTCCCGGTAGCCCTCTATCGGGCAATATCCCAACTAATAGGTGAAGGGTTGCGAGGAAGTGGGGCGGTAACCCAACCTGTGGATCTCACGTACGCTGTTTTTTCACGAACACTGGACTTTATGAATCCTGGACTTCATGATTCTCCTCTGTCCAGGGGTTTTGGACGTTTTCTGGATGTCATGAACGCCGCACGCTGCGATTCTGGACTTTTTGGTCACTGAACTTCATGAACTCAGGACGTTTCAATACGCATCCGTCAAAACCCACCTGGACGGTTTCGTCCGTATCCTGGTCAGCGGAGAGCTTGCGCTTCCGGCCCAGCCGCACCCGGAACCTTTTGTCTACACATATTTCGCCAATCCGGGACGGCAGAGGTGTGGCAGGGTTGTGCCAGGAGATGGTCGGCTCTGGAGGCTCCGGCTCAGCCGCTACGCGCTGCGCCGCTGCCGCGCCTTCTCGCGCCGTCTGTTGCCGCTCGGAGGACGGCGACGCCTCGCTTTGAAGAGCAAGACAGCGATGGGTCTGAGCTGGTGCCGCCTGGGGCTGTGGCGCCTGAGGCTGCGGCGCCTGAGAGCGCGATGCATGAGGCTGAAGAGCCTTCTGCCGCTGCACTCGAGACTCAGGAGCCTGTTGCCGCAGAGCCTCAGCCTGAGAAGCCTGTGGTCGCGACGCCCGAGGCCAGGCTGTCTGAGACTGAGGAGCCTGAGGCTGCCGCATCGGTGTTGGAGACAACTGGTGGCATGGTGGCTGAGGTCGTGGCACGCTGTTTGACATCTGTTGTATCTGCGTTAGCACCTCTTGCACACCCGCAATGGGCTGAGCCGACGCCGGGACAATTACGGCCCACTGAGTTGGATTCCCACTTTGAGTGATTGTCCCACGGGACTGCATGGAACTGAGACTAAGAGGTGGTTGTTGGGCGTGATTTGTCTGCAATGATGTCGACTGCAGCCCACAATGCGGCGGCATCCGCTGCTGCTGCTGGTGGCCGTGGTACTGGGGGACATATTGTTGCTGTTGCTGCAGGGTATGTCGCTGCAGCTCTTGCTGCTCCCTTGGCTCTTGCCCACGTTGCTGCGATATCGGTATTATCCAGGAATTCTGCTGTTGGTCCGTGGACTGCCGTCGTTGATGAGGTAGCTGACAATACGAATCAGATTCCTGCCGCTGCTGCTGTTGTCGCTGCTGCTCCTGCAGCTGGGAAGGAGGATGAAGTTGAGATGGTTGTCGGTAATGCGGGTGACTTTGTTGACGGATCAGAAGCTGCTGCACATGAGACGGCGGCTGCTGCTGTTGGTCGCTCTTCTCAGTGGGTGCACGCAGAAGCCTTGACAGCTCACTAGCGGGTGCGCTGGGCGTCACCTCATCCGCCGCCATGCCTCTGTCCAGCCGCACTGCCGCGTCTAGGTCCTTCGCGTTCAGCAGCGATGGAACAACGTCGGCTGTCGGCTGGCCCGCCGTTCCGGCATTGGGCTGGTCCGCTGGCAAGGTCTGGGGCTGAACTGCGCCCGCCGCGCCCTGCAACTGGCCCACGCTGCTCACTGTGTTCGCACGGGCCGCCGTCACTGTCTTGTGTAATTCCTGTATCAGCCTGTACAGTTCTGGCCGCATGCTGCTTGACTGACATATGACGTAGAATAGGCCCTTCATGTACTCTACGCCAAAATCCGAGTTGGTGCGCAGTTGTTGGTCCATGACCTGGTGTGAGATGCTCAGAAAGCGTCTCATAAGATTTTTCTCCATTGCTGGCTGAATACAAATTTCATCGTCGTAGAGCAACATGCCGAACATGTCTCCAATTCCTGTAAGGAACACAT